CACCTGAGCCTGGAAAACCTCACCCGAGGCTGGGACACCTCACCCAAGCCCGGAAAGCCTCACCCGAGCCCGGAAAACCTCACCCGAGCCCGGAAAACCTCACCTGAGCCCGGAAAACCTCACCCAGAGAACCTCACCCAAGCCTGAGAAACCTCACCAGAGCCTAGAAAACCTCACTTGAGCCCAGGAAACCTTACCCGAGCCGGGGAAACCACACCTGATTCCAGGACACCTCAGCAGAGCCCAGGACACCTCACCCAAGCCCGGGAAATCTCACCCGAGTCCAGAAAACCTCACCTGAGCCCAGGAAATCTCACCTGAGCCCGGGAAATCTCACCTGAGCCTGGGACACTTCACCTGAGCTCGGGAAAGCTCACCCAAGCCTGGAACAAGACCTCGCCTGAGCCCAGAAAACCTCTGATTCCAGGACACCTCACCTGAGCCTGGGACATATCTCTGAGACGGGGGTGAGGATGTCTCTCTGTGGTGAGGGTGGGGACGTCTCTCCACGGTGGGGATGGGGACATCTCTCAGCATTGGGGGTGGGGACACCGCTGCCTGTTTCTTCTTTCCACATTCAAGTCTCTGCTGTGTCTGGGCCCTTCTGCCCCGCCAGAGAAGCTCTGTGTAACCAGAACAGAGCCTGGCTTTCCTCGTGCTGGGCCGTCCCCTCCGCAGCCTTGCTCTCGAGGCTGGTCCTCTGCCCACAGTACCCCTCATTCCTCTCTACCACCTGGCCTCTTGCCCGGGTCAGAATTCCTGGATGAGGCAGGATAGAACGGCCTTAGGAATGACACCGTCACCCTGGAAGTGATTCTGGGATCACAGCGGCCTTGGGGAGCAGGCCCAGGCCCCATCTTCGAAGCCCATGCAGACCTGCTCTCAAGGACCCCATGTTCGAGGGGGAAACGCGTCGCTGGGACCCCTGCCCCCAGGCCTGGTACATGGTGTCCACCGGATCAGGTTTTCTGGTGAGAACTAAACCAGAGGCAATGCTGTTGCTTGCTCATGTTTACGGAGTCCGAGGCGAGCTGGTCAGGATGGGAAGTTCCTGACCCCAAAAGCATTGGGGACCCAGGCTCCTTCCAACTGCGGCTATGCCATCCTTGGCATGTAGGTTCCGCCTCACAGCACAATATGGCTGCCAAGCTCCAGCCATCAGATTCTGTTCCAGCCTGTAGACAGGAAGAAAAAAGAGCAAGCCTTTCCTTTTATGGACATCCCTCAAACCAGAACTTAGTAAAATGGCCACACGTGTTGCAAGGGTGGCTGGCTGTGCACCTGGCCAGGAATGGGAGGTCTATTTCTGTTCGTTTTTTTTTGTTTTTTTTTTTTTGAGACAGAGCCTTGCTCTGTTACCAGGCTGGAGTGCAGTGGCAAGATCTGGGCTCACTACAACCTCTGCCTCCCAAGTTCAAGGGATTCTCCTGCCTCAGCCTCCCAACTAGCTGGGATTTACAGGTATGCACCAGCACGCCCTGTTAATTTTGTATTTTTAGCAGAGACGGGGTTTCATCATGTTGGCCAGGATGGTCTCAGTCTCTTGACTTCGTGATCCACCGCGTTGGCCTCCGGAAGTGCTGGGATTACAGGCGTGAGATTTCTAAGGGACCGTGGGAGGCTGGCCTCGAACCAGCCATTAATGGGGGGTCTGTTACTAAGGGACCCTGGTTCTCTCTGACTCCTATTTCTTCAATCAGCTAGAACTGGTCCCCGGGAAAGGCACAGCGTTCTGGGAAGTCTCAGCCCCTGTCCCTGCAGGGCTGGGGCTCAGTGATGGGGAGGAGGGAGGGGAGGGGCCCTCACAGCCCAGAGAGCAAAGCTGCTTGTGGTGGGGCCACTCCTCTCCCTTCCCAGTGAGTCCTGTGGCCCCAAGACCTTGGCTCCTCCTCTCCCGGGGCCTGACTTTGCGGGGCAGCGGGGGAGCGGGGGCTGCCTCACCCTGTTGTAGAGCATCCAGTATTTAGGGGCTGGGGTCTCCAAACTCCTCAAGGGTGGCAGGACATTCTGAGGCTGGGAGTCCCAGGAAAAATCCTTCTCAAGCCTCTAAAAGGGACAGTCTTGGGTCCAGCCTTCTGCCCTCAGGGATGTGGGGTGCAGCCTCCGCTGGGGGCTCCAGCTGCAGCTCCGCAGGAGGTGGTTCTGGGCCTTGAGAGCCTCCTTCCAAAGATGAGGTCTCCTGGGGTCATGGGTTGCAGGGACCGACCCCTGGTCTCTGCCCGGGCTGTCGAGCACCCCAAGTCCTTCCAGCACCCCAGTGCCACCCAGGCTGGACTCAGGGCAGGGCCAGAAAGACGAGCAGGTCCGGGTGGGCCCCAGCTTCGGGCAGCAGGCAGCAGGCCGCGTCCTCATTGTCTTAATCCACCTCTTGCCTCTTGTCACAAAGTATTAAAATCTGTAATAAGAACGTTTAAGAGCCCCCTGTAATTTGGCCATCAGCGCTGTGCGGGCCATTAGCTGACTGCACGGGGCATCAATCTAGCCTTCTCTCTCCGGTCCCAGTGAATTGTGATAAAAATGTCAGACAATTAGATTACACCGCCGCCAGTGCGGTGATGAGCAGCCAGGCGGGCGTGCCCTCCAGCCACCCTCCGGTGGGAGCCCTGCCGTGCCGTGCTGATGACACTCGAGGACAGTGGGACGGGCTGTCGGGGGTCAGCGTGTCAGCCCAGCGAGTGGGGCCATCCCAGGAACCTACGCCCAGGCCCCCTGGAGCCCAGCTGGAGAGGCCGTGGGGCCAGAGGGGGCATGGGGGAGGGGCAGGGGAGGGTAACCCCTGGGAGCAGGACGGAGGTGAGGGATCCCTCGGAGGGTGCAGAGCCCTGAGCTCAGCAAGGAGGGGCCGGGGCTCCCAGGGCCCAGCCCTGCACTCAGGAAGGGAGCCCCGAGACGGCTGAGCAGCCGAGTCGCCCCACGGCCTCAGGTCTAACCCTTGGCTTGGTCCCCTCACCTGTCCCCACGTCCCTGTCCCCTCACCTCTGTCCCCTCCACCCTGTACCCAAGACCCTGTCCCCACGCAGGGCTCTCGCTCCACCTGCCCTTCCCAGGAACCACGGCTGCCTTTTATTCTTAAGGGCGAAGATGTATTGGAAATTAATTTCTGTGTTGGAAATGGGATAATTAAACTGGTTGTTTCCATCTTCATCATCGTCACCATAAAAAGGACAGTCAGGCGAGTTTGGCACGAGGTGACACCGACACCTCACGAGCGGGAGCATTAATTGAATACAAATGGCCTTCCCTGAAGCTGCTGAGTTATATTTCAGAGATATGGGATAATGATACCATTTAATCATTTTTACAAGATATAAAATTACTGGCTCCTCTGGGAAGATTATTAAGGAAAACAATTGTTCACAGCAAATGAAGATGGAGTTTTAATTATTCAACACAGAAATTAAACCGTTAGAGACCAACCTTGGATGAGGCAACTTAATAGAACTTTATATACAAGCGTCTATGAACAGTTTCGTTTTATTAATCTGCCTCATTCCTTCATCCAAATCTGTCTGAAGAGCCTCTCGGCTGTGCCTGTTGAGACCCAGAGCCCCCGAGTTTCCAGGGAGGACAGCCAGGGCGTGGCTCACAGGACATCCTGGGACCTCTAGGAACCTGAGGGCGTCCAGGCCAGGCCCCCAGGCTGCAGGGGAGGGGCCGAGGCTGCCCAGTCGAGAGAGGCGGGGTGGAGTCGGGGCCGATGGGGCCTCGGGGTGCACCTGGGGCACTTGGGGATTAAGAGGATGGACTGCAGGGTGCTGGCCACACCCTTTGACCTTCCCATGGCCTTTTGGGTGGGAACTTTGGGGACTCACCTTCCAGGCCACATGTGTGTGACCCCCAGTGGGTATGGGACCGGGGCACCCACTGTGCCCACTCCCCCCAGCCCACTCTGCTGTGGCTCAAACCTGATGGGGCCCCGTCACCCCGCCCTGTCCAGAGAGGCTGCCTCCACCAGAGCAGGGAGGGGCTGAGGCTGCGCCCAGAGCTGGGGTGCCGGGAACTCACGCTCCTTTAGAGGCTGCTGGCCAGGGGCTTGCCACAGGGTAAGGGATGCTTTAAACCAGGACTTAGACGACCACCTCCAAATGGAAAAGCCGTGAGAGTTACTGAAGACAGGGCACAAGCTGTCGGTGCCGGAACCGAGGCGGACGGGAACCAGAAGGAACCCCTAAACACTTCTGACTGGTGTGGCTTGGGGTGTGGGCCATGAGGAAATGCAGCTTTAAAACCCTCATTCTAAACCTGTACACATTTTCAATGTGTAAACCAATAAATGGACATTTTTAGGGGGTGGAAGAACTGAGGGCACCAGATTGGGCAGCTTGTTGGGGGCACCCCTCCACCCATCTAGGGCCCGAGCAGGACAAGGCCTTGTGACGGGGAAGCACAGGGGCAGAAAGGACGGCAGCTCCCCCAGCACGCAGTCGGGAAGCTGGGGTGGGAGGGGGGCACGGCGCCCAGTGTGGGCACAGCCAGGCTCACCTTGTGCTCCCCCGAAGGCCCAGGCCAGGTTCCTGGCCACTTTCTGGGTAGAAGACGGAGCTCATCCTCACCCGACCCCTGGCCAAGCGGGGACAGCAGTGCAGGAGTGTCCCTGCCTCCCCCCATCCTGAGTGCCCACCAGCCAGGTGAGATCTCAAGTCCCAGGCCCGGCCACCAGCGCGGTTTCTGTGTTGTGCTCAGGACTTGCAGGCTGAGGGCCGCGCCCTTGGAGACCACCTTCTGCCCCCCATTTTCTCCAATAAATTCCAACGCATCTGCTCCTGCCTCAGAGTTTTTAGGGTTACATAAATTTCACCTATGCAATTTTTTTTCTGCTTGAATATATTACAGAATGCCACTTCTGTTATAGAAGCTAATTGATAATGTGATTTGTTATGTTGCTGGGACATAATTCAGAAAGTTATTTTAAAGCCTTTGATGCACGGAACGGCACTCACTGTTCAATATTTCTCGCATGCGTGGACACAGCGTAGGTAAAAAATGTGGTGCTGTGCGGATGAAATATTTCCAGAAGCTTTTATTCTTGTTGTTTGGGTGAGCGCCAGCAGCTGCATAGAAGGAAGCCCATATTTCCAGCGCCGCTCTGATTTCAATTTATTTCCTGGTCATTAGTTAGCTTTTTTTTTTTCCCACAAACTGGAACAAGTGTGTGTATATACTTAGAAAAATCAAACAAAAAAGAGAATCACACACACAACCTTTCAATATTATCAAAGGTAGACATTTAAAATTTTTATGTCAAACTAATTACAGATTCACAGGAAGTTGCAGAAACAGGGCACAGCGCCTGGTGCCCGCTCCCCGGCCTTCCCCAGCCGCGACCCTGCCCAGCTGCAGCAAACGGCGAAGCCGGGAAGTGAGGCTGGCTCTAGCTGCGGTGAGCTGCGGGCGCCGCGGGCTGTTTTCACCACGTTGTACGGGCGTTCCTTTCTCAGGTAGGGGCTGGCCTTGCTGCCACAATCAAGACCCACAACTGGTGGGTCAGTGGTGGCCCCCGGGCCGGGCACACTAACCGCGCGCCAGAGCGCCACCGTGGCGAGAGGCTGTGCAAGCTGCCTGCTGCAGCCTGTGACGCTTCTGACGCTGGCTTTGTCCTCGGCCCAACTCCTGGAGGCCCGTCAGGCCGGAGCCACCGTTCTTTTGCCGCTGCTGCTGGGCAGTGTTAACTCCAAGTGGACAGAGCAGAGTTTGACCATTTGCTTGTGGACGGACATGGGGTTGCTATGAACACGCGTGCATGCGTTTGTGTGGAAGTGCATTTCCCACTCTCTGGGCTAAACGCCCAAAAGTGCCATTGCTGGGCTGTGGCTTTAAAGAATCAGGTCAACTGTTTTCCAAAGGGGCTGTGGCACAGTCGCAGTGCGCGAGAGTCCACTTATCAGCGTCTCCTCCAGCATCTCACGTTATCTTTATTCTTTAAAAAATTCCCTATCTGGGAATCGGTATGTAGACCTACTTTGGGTCATTTTGGGGCCGCCTGTCCTGACCCAGCTGTCTTGGCTATTGCTGGCCTGGCGTAGGCACCTGGCAGGAGTTTGGGTGGGCGCTGAGCTGGGTGAGTGGCCTTCACGGGCACAGCGTGGGCAGGAGGGCCTTCAGCAGACCCTTCCCCCACACAGCGTTGTTGCCCCTGCTCCCCATCAGACACAGAGGAAACTCGGAGGTTTCCAGGCAGCCCTGACCTCACATGGCCAAGGTCCTGTTGCCCTCGGCAGGAGGGGGCTGCCCCCTGGCCTTCACATTTCGGGCCTCAGGCTGAAGAAACAGGCCCACATGGCCCCACGTGGAGGGGGCCGGAGCGCTGGATGGCACCTGAGGCTCCTGCTTCCGCCCTTCAGGGCTGTCCTGAGCCTTCCCCTGGTCCTGGTCAGAGTCCATGTGCGTGGGGAGGGCCTGTCTCCAGAAAGCTCTACAGACCCCCTGGCCTCCCATGGACCAATGCACCCTTCGACCCCCCCCAGCTCCCACCCATCTGCCCAAGTTGGGAGAGACATATCCAGAAATCCAGAAGGGCCATCTGGAAGGCACGTCCCTTCCCCCAGGACCCCCTGGATGCTGAAGCCCACCGGGAATGTTCACAGAAGAAAAGCATCTCTTCACGAGAAGCTCCATGTGGTGCTTGCTGACACAGACCCTGCCACCATGAGCCTCCTTGTTCTGGAAGGTTCCATCTGAGGTGCCCTGTGTGTGTGCAGGGGATGTTGCCTGGGCTGACGTGACACCCTCCCAGCACACACTGGAAAGCTGCTGGGTTCAAGGAGTGCATTTCTCATGAGCCAGCATCCCAGAAGGTGCGGGTGTCCATGGCAGCAGTGCTGAGGCTGGGCCAGAAGCACCCACCTGGAGTCACCTTGAGTCCCAGAGACCACACACAGAGACTCACAGAGACCACACACAGACACTAGAGTACTCGAGTGGCAGAGACCACACACAGACACTGGAGTCGCAGAGACCACACACAGAGACTCACAGAGGAGACCACACAAGGAGACTCCCAGAGACCACACACACAGAGACTGGCTTTTGTTGTTTACTAGAACACTCAAATGAAAAACAGCCTAACAGGTCCTAATGGTGCTCCTGGTCTGAGCAACCCAGCACCGGCGTGGCGCTGAGAGGCTTTGTCTTCTGGGGCTCTGCTGCGGGTGCCTCCTCCCCAGGGAAAGGCGATTTTGCTGCCAGCATAAATGAGCCCGTGGCTGGGGAAGCCTCCTGATGGGAGGCCGCCCTTGTCCTGGCCCTGGGGAGAGACGCAGCTCCAGCCCTGACACAGACCCCGTGGCGCACACGGGCAGGTAGAGCTCGAGGTCCAGGTGACCGCCCGGCAGGAGGGCACGGTGGAAGGTCTCAGGCTGAGGCCGCGCCAAGGGCTGGGGAGAGCCAGCCTGGCGGTGGGGATGGGAGGGCTGTGGGTTGGTAGAGGGGCAGGGTGGAGGGCGGTGTCCAGGCCCGCGCTACCCGACGGCTTGGTGTGGCAGCCCGTACAGGACCAAGTTGAGCGTGGTGGGAAGGAGCTCAGAGCTCTGGAGCTGCGGCTGCAGCAGCAGGAGCACCTTGTCCTTCAAGGTCTGAGAAGCCTCGTCTGTGGAGAGAGGGACGGGAGCCGTGAACCCCGAGGACCCGCAGGACGTCCAGCCTGGCTGAGGGCCAGGGCACAGGGGCGGGCATGGCAGGCGCTCTGACTGAGGGTGCCGAGAGGACACACTGCCACCTGCCAGGCCCCCCAGGGCGCCCCCACCACCTGCACACCCCTCCTGCACCAAGGTGTCCAAGTCACCAACAGCATCCAGACCCAGAAGTCAGGGCAGGAAGGCCCCGCACAGCCGGGTGATGGCGCCAGGACTGGACCCCCTGACCCGAGGCCCACTGTCCCCGATCCACCCCTCGGCTGGGTGAGCTGCTTTGCTGGTGGGGGGTGTGGCCGTCTGGGGTGTGGCTGCTGCCCTGCAGTGAGCAGCGTCCTCTGCCCCTTCCTTCTCAGCAGCGTAGGTCACCTGGGCTCAGGCCTCCACTACAGGGACCGGAGCTTGGTCACGGCTGAGCAGCAGCAGCAGAACAGCTCCAGCCTGGCTCTGCCCTTCCCGGATTCCCCTGCAGAGCGCCACACCAGCCACGCCACAGTGGCCTCCGTGTCTGCACCGGCTCCGCGTTTGCACTCTGGCCGCGTTTCCCCTGCCCCTCACTCCCTCCCTCCCCCGACAAGCATGGGTCGTTGGGCCCGGCACCCCAGACTGTGGACCACATGCTCTCTACACGATAAACTCCTGGCCAGTGGCGGACACTGAAGGCCTCGGTGAGGGGACGCCTTCCTAGGCAGGGCAGACCACCCCTCCCGTGCACGGCTGAGCGCTTCAACTCAGGGTCCCATGAAGCTCCTCTCTGCGCTTCCCCCACCATGGCAGGAGGGTTTTGCTGACTCTGAAGGATGAGTGGGTGGGTTCCGCCTGTCCGTTTTTGAGAACAGACCATGTCCTGTGCCCCTTCCTGACGCTTCCCCTGAGGCCGTGGGAGGGACAGGTGCTGGGTGTGATGTGAGTCAGGCTGCTCTCCACCCTCAGCCCACGCATTCCTCTTCCAGGGGGCCTCTTCCAGGGGGAACCCCTGGCCACATCCAGGGCCCGTCCGGCCCTCACTCTGGGAGGGGCCTGGCACAGCTGCCCCCTGGATCTCCCACTGGTTCCCAGAGAGTCCCGGGCTCATGGGGTTCGTGTGACTGGAGCTGTCGTGGTCTCCGACGACCACGGCGCTTTCCCTCCGGGTTCTGGGGCCACACGGCATTGCAGGCGTCACCGCCGAGGCTCGCGCCACCGCGGGGGGCTGGGTCAGTGCAGACGCAGGCAGCTTCCAGGCAAGAACAAGCCCTCCTCTTTCTGGTGCCTAGCTAGTGTCTGGAATCCCAGTTCCCCATAGGGAAGCCGAGACACCTGTCCCTGGAGGGCTGTGGGGAGCACGTGTCCCACGGCGGCGGCTGCGGAGGGCGCTGGAGGACCTGCGGGCTGGCCGCCCTCCCTCACCTTGGTTCACCGCCTCATCCCCGCTCATCTCCTGAAGGAGTCGCACCGTTTCTCCAACAGGCTTCCCGACAGCCAACAGATCTAGGGGAGAAGCGACCGCTCAGGCAGGCGTGGACACCCTGGCAGCTTTGCTGAAGGGCTGCGGGACAGGCCCGGGGTGCCCGGCGCCCACGCACTTTCCCAGAGGATGCCGGCCCTCAGTGCATTGTCCTGCAGCAGTGTAGCCCACTGGTTCGCCAGGATGCTCTTGACCCCCACCAGGCTCAGCAGGATGGCCACGTTGACGGGATCCTCCAGGGACGGCTCTGAGGCGCTGCGGGGACCCGGCTCCTGTGGGCTGGCGCCAGGGGGCCCAGCTGAGCCGCCCCTCCCTGTGCACACGTATCTCCCCAGTTGATGGAATGCATGTGTGCCCCCGCGGCTCTCACAGTTCTTGAAACCCACCCCTGGTCCCTGCTCTGGTGTGGCACCCCCCAGCCCCCGTCTGACCTCTCCACCCGCTGCACCCCCTCCCCCGGGCAGCCAGGCACCTCCTGTGCTCCAAGCTCTCCATATGCCGCCTCATGCTCTGGTAGGACTGCGCCAGGTCCAGCACGACCAGCACCTGGCACTCTGCCGACGGGAAGCAGGGAGGGGCAGGAAGGGCGGCTCAGCAGCCGTGGCCCGACGCAGGGGTGGGAGTGTGGGGGGGGCCTGTGCCCCCAGGGCGTGGCAGGGCGTGGCATGCTGGCCACTCAGCTTCAGGCTCCAACCTCATGACGGTCAGGTTCTTTCCAAGGACGCCCTGGCCACAGTGGACCTGGCGGGCCTCAGGAGCCCAGGCCCTTCATAGGACGACTGTGCGGGCAAGGGAGGTGGTAGGAAGCCCACCCAGGCACCCTCATTGGCTTCCTCTGCCCTGCAGGGTGGTCTCAGTGCCCCCATGGGGCCCACACGCCTCCTGGGGGGCACCACACCTCTCAGGTCCCCGAAAGGCTCCTGCCAATCCCACACAGTGGAGCCATGTGCAGCCCCGTCAGAGAAGGTCACAGCGAGTGGGCTGGCCCTGCACAAGGTCATCCTGGTAGGGTGGCAGCCATAGGAGCTGAGACGGGGGATGGCCTTGGCACAGGGCTGGGCCACACCTGCTTCCTGATCACTCGTCCTGCGGTGTCCAAGTGGCCGTGCCTGCTGTCCAGGGCAGGCTGTCTCTGTCAGTGCCATCCTCAGGCCGTGGCACGTGATGGGGTGGTGTGCCCCTACACATGTGCTCGAGATGGCGGTCAGCCTGCTGTGCTGTCCCCACCTCCTGCCAAAAGCCCCCCGTCCTGGAGCTGGCTGGGGTGTCATGGTGCCAGGCACAGCAGGGCCACACCTGGCAGACCCTTCACGCCGGTGGACAGCAAAGGGGAAGGCGAGGCCCCAAGTACCCACGATTAGACTAGAGGAGCCCTGAGGGAGGGGCTGTGACCAGCGAGGTCCTGAATTGCCCACCCCATCCTTCCTGAGCTCCTGGGCCCAGCACTGACAGGCCTGCCAGGTCTGAAGAGCTGGGCAGGGGGAGTGCAGACTCTGAGAAATGAAGGGCGGCGGGGGGGGGGTGGCAGAAGCCCCCGTGGCTGCCACGTCTGTGTGGGCCAGGCAGGGGGTGCAAGGGTGGGCAGAGGCCATCCACCTGCAGACAGGAGGGGCGTGTGGCCACAGCAGGTGGGGACAGCACCAGCAAATGACGGTGGCCCTGCTCTGCCCTCAGCTGGATTTGTCCCGTGCCCGTGGAGGGGTGGCCAGAGGACCCCTCTTACCTTGCAAGTTCATGGCGACCAATCTCTCCACTAATACGTGGGACAGGAAGCGCTCCATCCCATAGAAGAAGAAGCCGCTGCAGCTGCCCAGGGCCTGCTCCCACTGGGCCTGGCTGAAGAGAGAGGACAGCGGGGGTGAACAGACCCTAGCGTGCATTCTTCAAGCAGGCCACGCACCCTGTGGGGCCCACGCCCGTCCCGTTTGCGTGTTAAACACAACTGTCTTTCATTTTCCCAGTGCCCATGCCTCTGTCCTCTGTGCTCTGATCATGGGTTAGGATGAAGCCTAGTCAGCTGGACTCTCCGTGAGCATGGACTTCTGCGCTGGAATGAACACCCAATCCCCAGGCAGGGCTGGCTGTGGGAAGTGCTAGGAGGGGCTTTCCCAGTGGCCAAGCATGTGGAGGGCAAGGCACCCCCAGTACTCCAGGCAGGGGAGACAGTGACCAGACCAGGGTTCCCTCCTTCCATACCTGACCCCAGCCCTGCCCCTGCAGCCCCCCTTCCCAACACACTTGCCCCTGCACACCCCTGCCCACCACTGCCCACACCTGCCCTGGCACCCCTGCCCCTTGTACACACCTGTGCTTCACACACCTGTCCCTGAAGCCCCGCCCCTGGCATGGAGCCTGTGACATGGAAGGACCCCCTCCCACCGTGGTGCTCCCTCCCTGGTGGCTCTGGTTCTCTGCTGGCGCTTCTGGACCCCTCTGGACCATGGAACCCCGAGGGCACCTGGGGGGCACAGTCTGTGGGTGGTCTCTGGAGTAGCTGCAGTGCTGGGGGTGAAGAGGCAGCCCCTGCTGCTGGACCATGTGCTGTGACGCTGGGCCCCGGGTCACCATCTGTAAAGTGGGTAACGGTGCCCCTCGCCCAGTCTCTGTGAGGACTCAAGGAGCCAGGTCTGTCTCGGCATTTCGTGCTGTGCCTGGGGGGACTTATGGGGCAGACCCAGGGAGCTGGGGGCGGGAGCAGTGGTTCCTTGCTGGACCCCTGAGACCCAACACACACCAACAGCTCCTGGGACCCAGATCCGAACCTGGGAAACTGCTTGCTTCCCAGATGTCCCACCCATCGCGACGTGAACGTGTCTTGGAATCTTTCCAAAATTTCTTGGGTGATGGAGACAGGAGTCAGCATTTCTACAGGGAAAATGGGGTGGAGACGCACAATGAGCTCCATCACACACGCGTGTGCAGGGCGGGGTCCCCAGGGAGGGGTCACAGCGAAGGCGGGCGGGTGTGTCATAAGTCCTGTAGGGTTAGGGTAGAACCAGGCTAGCAAGAGAGAAAACCTCAACAAATTAAAACATTTAAAGCCAACACAGGGCAAGCATGTGTGCTGATTTCAGCACCTCAAGGAGGCAGGTACCAGCTGCTGCCCACCACGGGGGGATGGCAGGGGCGGAGGCCAGCGTGTGCCTGAGCGGGGAGCCCTGTGCAGCACCCACCTGGGCCCTGGGCCTCCTCATACGGGTCCACGATGACTGAGCTCCAGTCAAGGAGAAACAGGGGCGTGGGGTAGGTCTGGGCCCCCCGCCCCCCACGTCCATCAAAGGATACACTTGAAGTTGTCTGAGTCGACCGTGATGCAGTCAGGGGGGATGACCCGGGGGAAGCTGCCCTGTAGCCACAGACCAGGGTCACGTCGCGTGCGGGGGCCGGGACCCTGACCTCCCGCTGAGCCCACCGCCAGGTCCCCCGCCACAGCACCCCCCACCTTCTTGCCCTTCTTCGCTAGGCTTCTCTTTTTGGAGTCTCTGCTTCTCCCCTCCTTTTTCGTGACACCTTCTGCTGAGGACAAGAAAGGGGAGGGATGTTTGTCTGCAGCTGGAGGCGGCTGTCCGGCCACACTGTCGGTTCATTTCACGTTGCGCAGCTTCCACCTCAATGAAAAACGACAAGGAGTGAGAACAAGCGATTTAAATGTCTGTAAAGTTGATATGGGAAGAACCTCTCAAAAGTAAAGGCTCACAGGGCTGGGGAAAAGTCCCCAAGGAAGAACCGCTCTCTAAAGGCTCCAAGGCCCAGCCGGCTGGCCATTCACACACGCCGCTGGGTACTCACCAGTGTGCCTGGGCCCCTCGCTGGTTCCAGGCCTTCTGTGCAGGGATTTACAACCTGCCCCGTCGACATCAGTGCCTTCTCTTGCTGCTTCTGCGTAGACAGCTGTGTGCCCGGGAAGGCTGGCCACTCCCTCCTGCTTCTGCCCCACCTTTTCTTTCCTTTCTGTGCGCCTGTGCTGGGGTCTCCCGTGACAGTGGAATGGACGCACGGATGGGGCTCTCTGCCCGACCCCCTTCAAAGAGGCTGTTTCTAAGGGAGCCCCGTTAGGAAGGGGGCTGTCTAGTTTTTGATGGATTCTGTTATTAGGATGGGGCATTGTGGTGTGTTCCCGGCTGACGAGGTAAATGTGTGCATTTTATCAAATGCCTTTACCCTGTGCTGACTGAAATGCTCCTACCACTGTTCCTCCTGCAATCTGTTCTAGGACATTTGTAGTGTTTTAGGGTCAAACTGGAGCCGGGCACAGTGGCTCACGCCTTATAATCCCAGTGTTTTGGGAGGATGAGGTGGGAGGATCACTTGAGCCCAGGAGTTCAAGACCAGCTTGGGCAACATAGTTAGATCCTGTCTCTAAAAAGACACTTAGCTGGGAATGGTGTCCTATGCCTGTAGTCTTGGCTATTTGGGAGGCTGAGGTGGGAGGATTGCTTGAGCCCAGGAGGTTGAGGCTGCAGTGAGCTGTGATTGTGCCATTGCACTCCAGCCTGGGTGACAGAGCGAGACCCCGTCAGGGAGGGGAGAAGGGAAGCGAAAAGGCTGACCTGAGAGATGACAGCTTATCTTTGTGTGTATTTTTTGTGCTGCCCTGGGGCAGTGTGGGAGGAGTTGGGCTGGCCTGTGGAAGGATGGGAGGAGCTGTTACTGGGAAGATTTATCTAACACTGACATCATCTGTTGCTTGACAGTCTGGCAGAATTCAGAGAAAACATGGAAAAACTGACTTTTTGTGTGTGGGAAGACTAAATCCATGGAAGTCCTTTTTTTTGGTTATCAGGCCATTCAGCTTTCCGTTCTTCCTGGAGTCTGAAAGCGTTTTCTCCTCGTATGCCGTCCCTGCTGCCCAGGGCTGTCACTGTGTTGGCACGAAGCTGCTCCTTGGCTGTCCCGTGGCCTCTGGTGTGCGCCGAGGCTGCGTGTGTCCGTTTCTGACATTCTCGTGGGTCTTCTCCGTGGCGTCTTTGTTTCCTTGGTGGCGCCTCGGGCACTTTCTGCATCTTCTCCTCCGCTTGCTTTTGGATTACTCTGCCTTCGCACTCTGACTTTTAAATCGGCGCTGAGCTTATGAATTCCTGGTGCGTTTCCTATTCTCACGTTGGCATTTACGGCTGCAGCGCCTTCTCAGTCAGGTTAGCCATGTCTCGCTAGTTTTTGACATTTCCACGATCGTTTCATTTCTTCTGAGTCCCATGAAATATTCAGAAGTGTGGTCTTGAATTTTCAAACGTAGCAGGATGGAAAAAATGCACCTCGGGGACTGCTTTCTGCGCTCATCACGCTGCGCCTCCCGTGTGGGCTGTCTGCCTGTGTCTGAGACACGGTGGGACCTGCTTCTCCATTTCGTGATTGTTCCTGGTGTACTTGAAAAGATCGCAGACTGCCACGTTCTAGGCACAGAGTTCCATGTCTCTATTAAGCCGAGATGGATAACCACGTTGCCCTGAATCTCCACTGTTTTTGCTTTGTCTGTCAGACGCATCAGTAATCCCGGAGCGGCGAAATGTCCCAGCGTCGGGGCCCGCGGCGGCCGCGCCCCACACCTTTTGCTTCTTGTATTTGGAGGCTGTTTCATCTTTCAGAGGAGTCGAACCTTTCTCATGATGGCCACGTCCCTGATGATGCCTGGCCCTAAAGTCTGCTTCCTTTGCGAGGCAGACGCTGACCCTCCTGGTTACTTTTAAACATTTACTCATTTTCACTTCTCTTCCTTTGTCTCGTGTGGGTCCTTTTTGACGGGCGAGTTTCCTGCACACTGCAGGTGACTGGCACCCTCTGCTCGCCTCTGCCGTCTCATTGGCAGGGTTGGCCAATGGACCTTTTTTTGAACGTTGGAAACAGATGCTTGGTGCCACAAAGAAAAATCAGCACTGAGACAAAAGATCTCTTACTTAGCAAGCAATTTTTACTTCCTGGACTGCAGGAAGGGCATCCTCGCTAGCCATCTTGCCATCAGAGTACAATGAACAAAGGAAATGCAGACACATTTATCCCTCACGCATTTGGGGTCGTTCGTCCTTACTGCTGTGTCTGATCTCCACTGGCTGGAGCCAGAGCTCACAATCTAAACTAGAACCTGATTGGCTAACAACTGAAAACTTTTTAAACAGGTAAGGGGCATAGGCTGTGAGCGGGGACCTGCCTGTGAGAACGTCCAGCACGGACATCTTGGTTAAAGTACAAGGACATAGAATGTACTACATGCCTGTGAGCAGGGCATGTCTAATAGCTACAGAGGATAGGGCTTCACAAAGAGTTATTAGCACACTTATGATTTATCCTATTTTTTTTTTCTGACCGAGTCTGGCTCTGTCACCTGGGCTGGAGTGCAGTGGCACGATCTCGGCTCACTGCAACCTCTACCTCCCAGGTTCAAGAGATTCTCCTGCCTCAGCCTCCCAAGTAGCTGGGATTACAGGTGCCTGCTACCATGCCCAGCTAATTTTTGTATTTTTCGTAGAGATGGGGTTTCACTGTGTTGGCCAGACTGATCTTGAACTCCTGACCTTGTGATCCGCCCTCCTTGGCCTCCCAAAGTGCTGGGATTACGAGCATGAGCCACCACGCCCAGCTGATTTGTTCTTTAACAAGAAAGGAAACTTTGAAGAGGAACTTTTACTTCCCACGTTGATATATGACATAAGTGGGCCGACTTCCACTATCTGACTTCTTCATTTGTCCTGTTTTTCTATGTGTTTCTCCATTACTAGCTGTGGGATCCCTTGACTGAGGTAAGTGGCCCATTCATTTCCTCGTTCGTTCTTCCTTCTCTGCTCGTTTGGAGTTTGCCACCGGTTCTTTGGGGTGCCCTGAACGCTTTGCTGCAATGCTGACACCTGCCTCCGACTCAGCAGCTCATGGCTCCGAGGACACTTCAAGGCTCAGCCTAATCCTTCCTTTTGTGGCCACTTGGTAATGCATTTCAAAGACTCAGATGACTGCAGCCCAGCTTTCGGTGACTCTGTGGTGAGGGTTCTGTGAGTTCCCGTGGCCGCCGTTAACCAATTATCACAAAAATGGGGGCTTAACGCTGCACCGCTTCCTGTCTGATGGTTCTGGGGTCAGAGGTCGGAATGGGGTGCACTGGGTCACAATGGCAGCGTCGCCCGGCGGCGCTGGCCCTGGAGGCTCCTGGGGAGAATCCTCTCCTGGCTCCTGGCCATGCCCTCTGTCCTCACCAGCGGCAGCGCAGCCTCCAAGCTCTTCTCTGGCCTCCCTGCTTCCCTCATGTGAGCACGTGGTCATCTCATCACTGGGCCCACGCGGATCCCCAGGAGCGCCTCCCATCTCAAGTCTGGAACTGCATCTGCGAAGCCCCTGGACCACGCCACCTCGCAGGCTCACAGGCACCGGGGCTGGGCATGGGCACCTCTGGGCGGCCAGTATCCTGCAAACCACGCCGGTGCTGGAGCATCTAGCCGGCCGCTTCTTTCCTGTTCAGCCCCTGCCATGACCGTGGTGGGGAAGGGAAGGACGTTTCAATACACGACGTGTGGACAGCTGGATCTCCTCATAGAAAAACAACTTAAACTCCATCTCACACTCCACAGAGGCCATCTCACGGTGGTTAGATAGAAATGTGAAAGTTGGGGGGAAAAAAGAGGTGGATTTAGAAGATATCATAAGAGAATATCTTCATGATCATGAGGAGAACAAAGATTGAAAAACCCCAAACACCTAACGACAGACCACAGCTAACAGTGGAAAGCACGAAGTTTTCACCTAAGACCAAAAACAAGGCAGGGAAACCCACTCTTGCCACTTCCATTCAAGCAGCGCTGAAGTCCCCGCCGGAGCAGCGAGGCAAGAAAGAGAAATAACAGGCCGGGCGCGGTGGCTCATGCCTGTAATCCCAGCACTTTGGGAGCCCAAGGTGGGTGGATCACCTCAGGTCAGGAGTTCGAGACCAGCCTGACCAATATGGTGAAACCTCATCTCTACTAAAACTACCAAAATTAGCCGGGCGTGGTGGCACGCACCTGTAATCCCAGCTACTTGGGAGGCTGAGGCAGGAGAATCGCTTGAAGCCAGGAGGCAGAAGTTGCAGTGAGCCAAGATTAGGCCCCTGCACTCCAGCCTGGCCGACAAAGCAAGATCCCATCTCAAAGCAAGGAGGGAAGACAGACAAATGCCTGGGAGTCGCAGTGGCTCACGCCGGTAATCCCAGCACTTTGGGAGCTCGAGGTGGGTGGATCACCTCAGGTCAGGAGTTCGAGACCAGCCTGACTACATGGTGAAACCCCAGCTCTGCTAAAACTACAAAAATCAGCTGGGCGTGGTGGCACGCGTCTGTCATCCCAGCTACTCCCAATGTTGAGGCAGGAGAATCGCTTGAACCTGGGAGGTGGAGGTCACAGTGAGCAGAGATCTCACCACTGCACTTCAGCCTGGTGACAGAGCAAGACTCCATCTTAAGAAATCAATAAATAGAATTTTAAAAAGGAAAGAGAAACAACAGGCAGACACATCAGAAAAAAAGATGTGAAATTATCTGTTTTCAGATAACAAGCTCTTATATATACAGGACCTCAAAGACTCCACCAAAAACCTGTTAGAACTAATAAATTCAGTAAAGTTGCAAGATACAAAATCAACATACAAAAATCAGTAGTATTTCTATACGTTACCAATGAACTATCTGATTAAGAAATTAAGAAAACAATCCTATTTCTAATAGCATCAGAAAGAATAAAGTACTTAGGAGTAGATTCAACCATGAAGTGAGAGATCTCTGCCTTGGAATCTATAAGACGCTGATGAAAGAAATTTCAGGAGACATAATACATGGGAAGATAGCTGTGTTCGTGGATAGGAAGAATTCATATTTTTAAATGCCCATATTACCCAAAGCAACCTACAGATTCAATGCACTATCAAAACTCCAATGGCATTTTTGACAGAAATAGAAAAGCAATCCTAAGATTTACAAGGAGCCACACAAGACCTTGAATAATCAAAGCGATCCTGAGCAAGGGCAAAGCTGGAGGCATCACATTACCTGGTTTGAAATTATAGTACAAAGCTATAGTAATCAAAACAATATGGTACTGGTATAAAAGCAGACACTGGACCCAATAGAACAGAATGGAGGATTCAGAAATAAACCCACGCCTTCAGGGTCAGCTGATATTTGACAGAGGTGTCAAGAACACACAATGGGGAAAGGATAGTCTCGTCAATAAATGGTGTTGGGGTAACCCAATATCCTCACACAAATCAATGAGTTTGGAGCCTTATCTTATACCATCTACAAAACCCAACTCAAAATGGATTAAAGACTTAAATGTAAGACCAGAAACCATACAACTACTAAAAGAAAACACAGGAGAAAAGCTCCTTGATTTTGGTCTTGGCAATGAATTTTTTGGATGACATCAAAATTATAAGGAACACAAGCAAAAATAAACACGTGAGATCACATCAAACTGAAAAGCTTCTGTGTACAAAGGAAATAACACGATGCAAAAGCAACATATGGACCCAGCACGCCTTCAGATGCCATTTGCCTGACTTCAAAACAGGCACAAGCGGGCTGCCAGATTTCGGGGTGCTGATCTTGGAGGTGAGGTCATGAAAAGCCCTGGCTTTGCAGTACAGTCAGGAGGGGGGCGCCGTGGGCGGTGAGCTGGGCTCGGGGAGGGGAGCGACTCTCGGTGGGTGCAGGGCCTGCTTCCTGCCTGGCGCTCCACTCGGGCATTTTTCTAGAGAGGTGGCACACTTCACTGTCAAACACGGTTTGAAACCTCTGCAAGCCTCGTGTCTGTGACAACCAACTCCCGCTCTGGCCTTCCTGCCTTTCCACCCTGCACTCCCATTCCCTCCAGCCCAGGCCACTGAGTGCCCTCCTGCCACGCAAGGCAGACATGCCCTCCACACAGAACTCACTAGGGGAAGGCAGGAGGGTGGCCAGAGGGACAAACCAGGGTCCGAGAAGGGGCTGACTGTGGCCTGCGGATGGACGGGGCATCCAGTGGGCCAGAATCACACGGAGACCAGCCATAAGCTACCAGGCCGGCTGCTGCGGGAGCTCCCGGGCCTGGAGGAACCTCCCTGGACATGGCGCCTTCGGGGGGTTCTGCCCTCTGACTGACTTCCTCCACCCAGGACCCACCTCGCCCATGTGCTCTGGTACGAGCTTCCATGACCCTGATACAAATTTGCTGTTTCTGTATTTTATGTAAAAAATTTCCACTCACAAGCAGGAGGCTCCTCGAGGACTTGGGGTCACAGGAAGGGTCAGAGCACCAGGGTACAGAGTCCACGTGACCACAGTAAACTGCCTGCGTTTAAAGTGAGCCACGTGGCCCTTCCCCCCACTTCTCCTGCAGCCCCAGCCCCCACCCCAGGAAGCGACTGACCCGCCTTCTGACTTCCACATTAGCCTGTGTCTCCCAGGCGTTTGTACAAATGAAACCAGCCCCTGTGCGCTCCCTTCATCCGGCCTCTTTCCCTCAGCCTAGTCCATAAATTCCTTCTCGCGCTTCAGCAGTATCCACACATCATGACAAATTGTGTTTCTGTTTCCCTTCAGATCACAATATTTCCTAAATGTCCCTTTTAATTTCCTCTTTTATCCATGGATATTTAAGAAGTACAGTTAGTTTCTAAGTGTTTGGGGTTTTCCAGACACGATTTCTGTTATTAATTTCTAATGTAACTCCACTGTGGTCAGAGAACCCATTGTGAGTGATTTGGACCCTTTAAGACTTTTGAGGCCTGTTCTATGGCTCCACTTGGGGTGTATCTTGTCAAACGTTCGTGTGTGGAAAAGGAATACATTCTTCTGTCGAGGGAGGGGACACTTACACAAGTGTCCGTTCAATGAAGCTGCTTGGTGTGTTTAAATCCTCCACACCCTCCTGATTCCACGCAGGTTTGCTCCATCACTATTGAGAAGGGGATGCTGACCCCCCGCCACCCCTGTGTGCGTCACGATTGCTCTGTGGTTCCGTGGGCTTCATCTCGTGTCTTCTGCAGCAGCGTTAACTGACGGATTCATAACTGGGTCTCACGCCCTCTTCAGGAATTAGCCTCCTCCTCGTACGGAATGGTCCCTAACTCCACCTATTTCTACTTTCATCTCACCATGCCAACCTTCTTTGAATAGTAAGAGATACGGCTTTTTCATCCTTTTTTTTAAACTCACCATTTTCTTTTTATTTAAAGTGTGTTTCTTGGAGGAAGCGTATTTTGAATGCTGAATTTTCATTTAATCAGATGACATTCTTCTTTCGGTTGGGGTGTTTAGACAATGTGATGATGGACATGGCTGGGCTGAGATATACTACCTCGCTGTTTTACTTTTCCTGTTCGTTCCCTGTTCCCTCTTTGTGTTTTTAGGATTAACTGTGTTTATGATTCCATTTCATCTTCTGCATCATGTATTTGTTATAAGCTGCGTGGGGCTTTCTGTTCGCTCTTCTTGTTGCTTTTAGTGGTTACTGGAGGTGTAGAGTTCACGTCTTTACCGAAGCCTATCTCCAAGTAACGTCACCGCGCGTTGTCTAGAGGACGCGGCCTTCAGGGCTCTGCGGGTGCCATTCCCTCCCTCTCATCTCCTGTGCTGTTGTTCCTCATTTCACATTTACGTTATAAACCCCCATACTATTATCGGTTTCTTTCGCTCTAAACCTTTTGCTCAAGAATATTTTAAAGAGATTTTGAAATGAAAGACGCTGTCAGCGTCTGTCCGTGTCCTTCCCGTCGGCAGAGCCGCCTCTGTCCCCGGCCGCGCACGCAGGCGTTGGCTGGACTCTGCACCTCTCAGAGCAGCCGTCGCCTGCAGGTCCCTCCTCCCGGTGTCCCACCCTGTACCTTCTGGCAGTCCGTGTCCCTGTCCTCAACCCGGGGAGACTCCTGGGCTCTTCCCACCCCCACCCCTGCCAGTACTGTGACCCAGAAGCTCCCCGGGAAGTAAGAGCTGGGTGGGCCGTGCTGCTCGCCAGCCAACCCCTCTTTCAAGGACCCTTGTCCTGCTCGGCCTGCTCGTCAACGCTTGGAAACGCTCAATCGTGTTTCTTCTGGTTTTCAGTTGTCTCAGGTGGAAGGGCAAATCTGGTCCTTGTTACCTCATCTGAGATGGAAGCAAAAGTCCAGTCTATTTATTTTTGATTTCATTTGATATTGAAGTGCAACATATATGCAGAAAACTGCCAATACCACAAGTGCAGGGCTGGCGAAGTTTCACAGACAGGGCCCGTGTGCACAGCCAGCACTGTCACCAGCGTCACCACCCCAGTCCCGGCCGAGGCCAGGGCCTCCCGTACGCTCCCTCACTGCTTTCCCGTCTAACCGAGCAGTTCACGGGGAGGCTGGCTGCTCACTACCCATCTGGTTCCCTCCTTTGAAACAGATATTTGTGGGGGCAAGAACAGGGTTAAATTCTTCCTCCCTGTGTGCTTGGCACCAGGATACCAGCACATCGCAGGTATTTTATAAATACCTTTGAGTGTTTATGTTTTCTTTTCTTTTTTTTTGACAGGGTCTCACTCTGTTGCCCAGGCTGCAGTGCAGTGGCACCATCTCGGCTCACCAAAGCCTCCCTCTCCCAGGCCCCACCCATCCTCCCACCTCTCAGCCTCCTGAGTAGCAGGGATCACAGGTGCATGCCCGGCTGATTTTAAAATTTCTTGTGGAGATGCCCTCTCACCATGTTGCCCAGGCTGGTGAGTATTTACATCCTGTAAATATCTCTGAATGAATAAATGCCTAGAAAAATGTTGCAACATTGGATGATTATTTTTTGACAGGAGCTAACATTGTTTTATCCGAAAAACAATTTAAATTTTCCATTTTAAAATTACACATGAAGGTGGCTAAGGGCCGTTCCTACCTGTATCTTCTTTACGGAGGCGATTCCATAACATTTGGAGAGAAAATTCTCGTGACACAGAGGAAATTGTCCCTTCATCGAACACGGAGAGACCTTCCAGCGGCAGCTCCAGGAGACATCTGTCTGCCACCAGGACGACTTTATCGGCCACCTCGGGCTGGGCTGTGTCTGGAAGCACAGTGCAGGTGCAGGGAGATCAGCTCCCGAAGACGTGGCCCCTCCCACGGGCCGCAGGGCTGTGCCTTCTGACTTTGCTGCTGGGAAAGGCTGGTGGCCCACCTCAACTCCACGTCAACTCCTCCAGACGCCCAGGAATGGGGCCAGGAGCAGCCCCCCATCACGCCCTTCCCTCCCTTTGTTGGCAAGCACACATGGTGTGGCGGGCTGACAATCCACCACAAGAGCGCAGCTGTGCTGGTTCTCGGGTGCTCTCGGGGGGCCTGGCACAGAGCCTCCTACCCGGAGGGTGGGCTGGTCCAGGCTGTGCACAGTACCCTCCGGGGCGCCATCTGCAGGGATGTCTCAGAGGGAGGGGCTGCAGGGCCAGGGGCGGTGGGACTCCTGGGCTCCTGACCCCCCTTGGCTTTCCCGGCTGGGTGGGTGGATCCCAACCCCACTTCTTCTGGCAGAACGAGCCCTCCCGCTGAGCGCAGTGCCCACCGCACTCACTCTGCGGCCCTGTGGACGGCTTCCTCTCCTTGTCTTTACCCTTGGACTTCCCTGAATCTGCAACCACCATGGGCGTCTGCACTCTGAAAGTCAGGTCACATACTCGGGTTTAAGAAACAGATAGAGATGACATCTACTAAGAACATATCTATAAATAACTGACACCTGCCCAGCCTGCTTCAATCTAAGGCAGCAGCAGCACGAGACATCCCCACACTCGCTTCTGGGCATGGTCCTGCCGAGGCGGGGCTGGGATGAGCAGAAGGATTTCAGGACCATCTCTGATCCACCAGCCAAGCTCAACAGTGCCAGGTGCCCGTCCCCTCTGCCTTCCTTCCCACCCAAAATCAAAGGAGCCCGACGGCCCCTTGGAGGTGCTTGCCCTCCCACCCCACGCTTGGGCCAGGGGCGGGAGGAGCCTCGGGGGTGTGCAGTGGGCGGTGCTCCTCCAGGCTGGAATGGAGGGAGAACCAGGGCGCCTTCCCAGGAGCAGGTATGTGGTGCGGAGCCTGGAACAAGGCAGCTGAGAAGGCACAGCAAGCACACGTGCTTGGCCACAGCACTGGGCACACGTGTCTATTTGTGGGTGTGGTGGGGACTGGGCCTCAGCGTCATCCCCAGTACCTGGCCTCGGAGATACTGAGCATGGGGAAGAGCGGCCGCAGAAGCTCCTCCAGGGCCTCCAGAACGCTGCGGAGACTGTGCACCGGGGGCTTCTGCTCTTCTGCCTGCAGGCCTTCTGGCTCCTACCTCAACCCAAACATAGCAGAGAGCATGCATGGCCCAGACCCTGAGCGAAGCCAGGCCCCTGCGGAAAGGCCGAGCTCCTGCCCCTTCTGCAAACAACGTGGTGGACCAGGGCACCCGGCTCAGCGGCGAGGGCCCCATAGCACTTGCCCATCCCCTGGGGTCTCCTGCCCATCCCCTGGGGGGGTCACCTGCCCATCCCCTGGGGTCTCCTGCCCATCCCCTGGGGGGGGTCACCTGCCCATCCCCTGGGGTCACCTGCCCATCCCCTGGGGGTCACCTCACCCATCCCCTGGGGGATCACCTCACCCATCCCCTGGGGGGGCGCCTCACCCATCCCCTGGGGGGGCACCTCACCCATTCCCTGGGGGATCACCTCACCCATCCCCTGGGGGTCACCTGCCCATCCCCTGGGGGTCACCTCACCCATCCCCTGGGGGTCACCTTACCCATCCCCTGGAGGGGCATCTCACCCATCCCCTAGGGGGTCACCCTGACACCCCAGCCCCCACCCGTCTCCTCTGCCTGCAGCATGGAGGGTCCTGCCTGCAGGGACAGCTGGGCCCCGGCAACCCTAAGCTCTGAGGAGCAGAGTTGGCCAGGCCCCTCTGCGCTTCAGGGATCAGACATGGCCAAGGAGCCCAAGTGTTCTCCCCGGCCTGGGAGTTGGGCAGTGCCTTGGTGTCAGGGTGGTCCAAGCCCTTCAGCGGCCTGGTCCAGCGTCCTGCCCCTGCCTACCCCTTCCTGGGGTTCTGGCTCTCAGGGGTGGGGGACACAGGGTCCCAGCAGAGCGGCTTGGAGCCTGGAGGGCCTCACCGAGCCTGTGCTCAGAAGCAGGTCCTCTGCGTACACCTGGGCCTGGATCTCCTTCCGGAACTCCTGGGCACAGGCCAGCAGGTGGGAGAAGGCGGTGGGACTCACAGCCAGCCGCATCACCTTGCAGGGAACTGCGGGGACATGGACACACCCTCCATCGCTGCCCAGGCTGAGGATGGCAGCTGGACCGTGCGTGGTGAGCACTGGGCAAAGGCTGCTGTCCCTGCAGGAAAGGCTGCATGGACGGAGGCCCCTTCCTCCATGTAGGGTCCCCCAGAGCCTGGCCCGTGCCGTGGAGGGGCCGCCACATGACTGCACGGCCAGCGGATGGGCCTCCAGGGCCCGGGGAAGCACATGCCCATTTTGCCTGTTTCCCCAGTGTCACAGGCTCTACAGACTTCTCCATCCCTGTGGGCGGAGGGCTGGGGAGGCCACGCTCCCTGGACAGCAGGCCAGGGCTCCCTGGTGGGCCTTCAGCTTCTGGGAGGAAAGGGCCCGGGTGCAGGGGCCCTGAGGCTCGGCAGCCATCAGCCCTGCACCCGCCCCTGCCCCGTGCAGCCCACTCACCTCCCACATGCTGCACCTTTCCTTTGGCTACAGGAATGAACTTGGGTTTCTCGTAGGCAGCGCTGTACAGATGGGACCTGCTGGCAGGATGCGGGCCAGGGTCACAGGCAAGCCCCGAGTAAACCCTGTGGAGCCCACCAGCCCCAGGGACCTCAGAGGGGCCCAGTGAGGCCACTTCTGCAGACCACGCACCCCAGCAGGGCCCTCCCCATGTACACCTCAAGGGGCACAGCACGGCTGGGTGTGCGTGGGCAGCTGGGACTTGGACCGAGAATAGGCTGGGTCGTGCACTGAGCACTTGGCCACGGCCAGTGGGTTCTGTGGTCACTGCCCGAGGCACAGCCGGCAGGGGCTGGAGAGGACAGCCGTCCTGCTCTCTGCTCACTGTAATAGTGCTCCAGGTCCGGACACCCCCGCCAGACGCAAAGGCCCTGTTAAGGCGACAGATCACAGGCGGTGCCCCTTCACCTCCCTCTGGGTGTGCCACACCCCTGGACCGTCCCCACCCCGTCAGTTGGGGTACCTGGTGTCTGTCCGACAGCTTCTCAGGACTGGCCGGCCAGTTCCCGAGTCCCAGGCCTCCCTGCGGTGGGGCTGAGGTGTGGGCAGCCTACGGCTGGGTCTCTGCCCCTCTAAGGCCCTCAGCGGGGTGGGGGCAGCCTCAGCAGGAATGAGCGGCTTTACCTGTCCGGTGAGAGCTGCAGAAAGAGTATCCGAAAGGTGGGAGGAATCTCATTCAAGAGGTTAAAATGCTGCTCAGTGACGCAGAGATTTTGCCAAGCCTGTGTTGTGAAAAACAGCCATCAGTGGACGCACTTAGGGTGCAGGGACCTCGCTGTGCTGTTCTCATCATTTCCAGATCTCGAGGCAGAGGTTTCTGCAGAGCCATGGCGGGGGATCTGTGCCCTGCCTGCCTGGGGTTGGGGCCCTTGGGGTGGGGGGGCCCTGCTGGAAGTGATTTGGGGCTGCCACCAGGGGGCAGCAGAGTCACCGGCAGCCCCAAAACGTCATTTCTCTCAGGTTAATGTTTAGAAACCTGATTTGCGTGACGCGAAGTGCATCTTTGCCAAACCCAAAATAACAAAGGGAAAATGTTCCAGCGCCTCCTCCGTGAGTGGTGCCTTTCCCTCCGTCCTCTTTCCTGTGTCCTCCACACCACACATGGAGACATACACATACAGACGCACGGATGCAGATGCACACTCACACAGACAAGCATGAACACAGACACACACAGACACAAACATGCACAGACACATGCGTGTGCACAGAAACACGCAGACAAGCATGGACACGCGCGTGCACACAGAGAAGCACGGACACACAGAAGTGCGCGTGCAGACGCACACACGCAGACAAGCACGAACACACAGACACACACGTGCACAGACACATGCAGACAAGCATGGACACAGACACACACACATGCACAGACGCACACACATGCAGACAAGCACGGACACAGACACACACACGCAGACCAGCACGGACACACACACACACGTGCACAGATGCACACAGACGCAGACAAGCATGGACACACAGACACGTGTGTGCACAGATGCACACACACGCAGACAAGCACGGACACACAGACACACATGTGCACAGATGCACACACACGCAGACAAGCACGGACACACAGACACACATGTGCACAGATGCACACACACGCAGAC